GAGGCGTTTCACCGCGGGGGAGTTTAATGTTTTTCAGGTTAAACATTAACACGCAGGTCTCTGTTCTTCCTGTGTGTTTTTTAAAGCACCTCCCCCAACCAAACTGACCCCCCTCCTTCTGTCTCTACAGACGCCTTCAAAATGAACACTGTACCCAATTAAAGCACATAGGAAAGATGGTGAAAATAAACATGCTCACATTTGCACTTAAATAGCATATGTTATAGAGTTTACATTTTAAGTTTATATTATACTAGTGGTTGGGGTGAGATATTAGTGTGGGACTTGGGGTGATCTTAAAATTTAATTCAAAAATACTTTAATGCCAAGGGAAATTAAATACAACTCGTTTTTCAAATTAATGGAAAGGCATTGATGATTGTGGGCAGGATGGATCTCCTGTAGCGGACCTTGCATTTCTGACTGAAAACACTTTGTAAGCATATTCATAACTGTTAAAGGGAGAAAAATAAAAATGTGATTATACTGTATTGCAATCTATGTAAACAAAAAATAAACATATTACCCAGCAAGTGTTGGGTAATTTCCTGTTTTCTCAAGTTCTTCAAGAATAGATCACACCACCTCAAAAATGGCTTAGTGACCCTTTGAGACAGACATCATTGGTGCTGTCTAGTCTATTCTTGAATCGATTTCAGTCTGACCACAAGGTTTATTTTTGAAATCAGCCTACTTCATTATAGCTGAAAGGTTCAAGTTCTACCATTTCCTTTTATGGGCCCAACAGTAATCCTAGGCATGGCAAGTGAACCTACAAAGGGTTAAGTAGATTAAACAGGGGGGGTAATTATTTTTCCATCTAGGGCCAGGTTGGGTTTCAATAGCTTTTTGTCCTCAAATAAAACAATTTGAAAACATCTCCTTGTATTTGAGATAATCTGATAATCATTTTGTTTGATCTGAAAACATACATAAGTGTATGTGGTTAAATATAACCCGATGCTGCTTTCCAGCACTGTATAAATCAAATTCCCATTGCTGATACACACCTATATGAAGTCCCCTTTAACCCCAACTGTATTACCAGTAATTCTAGTTCAAGTTTCAGTAAAGGGATTTTAAAAAAAATCAGATTGTTGACAAGTTTTAGAAAACTGTTGAAAGCCCCATTTTCAAAAATGGTTTAGTTAAAATACTCCTGGTTGGAAAGGAGCTGGTATTGGATAACATTTAATGGCCCAAGCACACAATAAGCCAATTTCAGAAGCAGAATTATTTCAAAGGTTTGAAAGGAAGGGCTTCTCTGCATCATGCAGCTTGCTCCGCCACAGCAAAAGTACCATCTGTAATCTTCAGCTCAAGCTGAATAAACCAGTCAACTACTTCAGTGTAGACAAATGCATGTTTGAACAGGATTTGAGCAAGTGCAGTTCAAGACCTTTGATTTGAAGATTCAAAGGATTATCTGAAAATGTAAACACAGGTGCTTTAAGAACAAACCAGTATTAAAAAGAACATTTACAAGTTGTTTCTTTTACTCAAGTTTTTATTTATTAATTCTATTTGTGCTTCTTATAACTTAATAGCACATAAACTGAATCCCAAACACCCCCAATGACGGTGTGAGCAGTGTTGAATTCTTGTGACACGGGACTGGAGAATACAGTGGAAGAAATTAAAGGGAAACAGGGAGTGAGGGGGGCAAGTCCAAATAAAAAAAAAAAAAAAAGGCACAACCAGCTTGTTGCATCCTCCATCAGTGTCTTGCTATA